ATTAAATTGTGTCCATGAGACAAATTATTTATTTTTCTGGTATAAATTTGCTGTTTTACATGACTGTTGAATGAAATTAACATAATTATTAATTTATTGTAAAAACATGACAGATAATCTGTGAAACAGATCCAGTTCAGCTGCTGTTTATCTATTAGTTTCTATGGAGGCTGTGAGCTGTTGTCCTTTTAGACGCCATTTCTACTCCTCCATGCTGTCAGACACTACCTGTGTACGGTATGGGCGGGACTCAGTCTAGTAATATTTATATTTAAGTCTATGGAAAATAAGAAGTGCATAAGTTGCACACATACAAAAGTAACAATAATGACGAGGAGCAGTGACTTCCAGGAATATGTTACAATACAACCTGAGTCTAAACTCTATTTTTGTTCATGTGAACCATATTATGCATCATATTCTACTCAACTATTGTTTTTTTTTTTATTATTTTTCATTGTGTTAAAGGTGTAATTTTCAGATTTAATTGTCCTTAATATTAAATCATGAGCACGTATTTACATTAGTCCTTTTAAACATCTACTTCCATTGTTTGTGTCACCAGGCATCATGATTATTTATCTTTTTTTCTTGCATTTGATGAAAATTGATGTCTTTTACTAATCAGGAAACAGCAGTAAATGGCAAATCTTGATAATGTCCTTTGGCCATGTGCTGTGTAGAAAGACGTAACCATCACTGTCAAAAAAGTTAATGAACCTTTTAATTATAAAATGATGAAAGGTCATATTAAAGTGCCTTGGACGTGCAAATCTTTCAGATACAAAAAGTCAAAGAAAACGTTTTTATTTTTGAGAAAGTCAACATAATAGATACAATTTTACCTATTTCATCATATAACTGGCATATTTTCTTTTTAATATTTTCAGTCTAAGCGAAGCAGGAAGTGACATCAAAGGGAAACTTTTTGAGCAAAGGAACTTCCTGGTTTTTGTTTATTGAAAGGTTATTTGAACTCTGACTTTTCATCTTTCTGATAGTGACTCAAAAATATGTTTTTTTTTTACTGTTAGCCATTGTAGCAGTTTTCAGTTTACATTTAGATATTCCCCTTTGACATCACTTCCTGTTACTTCACATTTGAATATCTAAACAACTGTGCAACTTAGTGGTGTGATTTTTTCCCCAATATGTTATCAATGTTATCTTTTCAAAAATATATTCATATTTATTACAAAAATTGGAGGTCAGAGACACTTCAAAGCAAACCTTTTCTACTAAATTGTGTTTCTTTAGTAGAAAATAAAATGTCTTCAGTATATCTGGTAGAATTTATGTTAAAATAATCCAATCCCAAACCCCAGCAGAGTATCTGTTACCATTTGGACAGTTCAGGCTCATATATGTTATTCATTCCCAGCTCAGTCCGAGCCGAGCTCATGCCCAGAGGCTCTGTGTGAACAATCCAGCAGCATATCATGATTGATGCTACTTTTTACGACTACATCTCTTACATAATGTCATGCAGCCGTTTTCTACTTTCCATCATTTTTCTTTTCTCTCCCAGCAGTGCTTTTTTTTCATAACGTGGATGCACCAAGAATTCCCACAACTCCCCCTTTTTCACACTCCATTTGGAACCCCCTGTCTGACAAGCACTTCTAATCTGTTATCACACAACCACAACAAAGGCAGCTTTGATGAGAACTCCATCCTGCTAATTTTCATTCTGCTGTCAACTTGAAACGATGATTATCTAATGGGGTGTCTTTAAATAAATTAATATCTCTACATGAAAGTTGCTATAATTATAAGCAATGGAACTGTCATGACAATACAGTTTCCCTATTTAATGACCCAGAGGACAACAATTAAAACAAGTTTTTGCATGACTTAGTGTCTAAACTAATTTTTTGTGGGGAAATGTGGTTCCCCTTTGACCCCTCTGTCCAGCACCCTGTGTAATCAGCACAAACAAAATGTCTGAAAAAAATGAGCACCTTCCAAAACACTGAGTCAAAGTCAGTGCCGTTAAACTTGTCTGGCATCCCGGAGGCTGTCAGCTTTGGACCCAAAAGAGTAACAAACTCCTCGAAGTCCACCTGGCCATCACCTGGAAAACAGAACAACTGCTGGTCATTAAGTTTAAAGCCTTCAATCGATCTCTTACTTGGTGAAGCAAACAAAATATAAGCACTTTTACAACAATAAGAGGGTCTGAGCTGTGCTTTGGTCCTACCGTCCATGTCCAATCTCTGGATGATGACCTCCAGCTCCACCTCATTCGGCATGTAGCCCAAGGAGCGCATGGCCATCCCCAGCTCCTGCTTTGAGATGAACCCATTCCCATCGCGATCAAACACTTTAAAGGCCTCTCGGATCTCTGCAGAAGCAACAAGCACAAGCTCAGGTCTTCATGCAAATCAGGACACGAACACAGGAAATGTTGCAAACAACAAAAAAGTCACACATGGGGGGATTGGGAGCTCAGGACATCCAGCTCTGACAGTGAGAGGATGGAAAGAGCCATGATAAAATTAAATAAATTCCCCTAAAATAAACTACTGAGACAAGAATAACGCATCGGGGCAGGGCTGGCCCTAACCAATCTGGTGCCCTGGGCAAGATGTGACACCTCTTGTGCAATTTTCTACATCTGTCTGTCAATTTACATACATTCACATACAAAATATTTTTTTGTCTTTTAAATTATTGTTTTATTTTAAAAAAACAGGTTATGTACCATATTTGTTTGTGTATAATACAATCTCGTGTATAATATGACCCCCTGCCTTTTTTTGAGCAGAAAAAGCATAAAAATTTAATCCTCAAACTACCTCCAATTTCATACAGACTTCACGATTTTTCAGCCTTTGCAGTCTTTATACATATCAGTAAAATGATCATTGGACTGTTCATTTTATTTTGACAACATACTGTATGTACTAAAAGGTATTTTGACAACAAATATAAATCAGCTGTAGCAACATCATATGAATTCTGGCATTTTACACATAGTCCACCAGGAGGCGCCAACACAAAAGTCAGAGACTTCACATGAGATTTGGGCCATCTTCTGGGGAAAAAGCAGATTACTTCCTACTTGCGAGCGTCCCCTCTGGTGGGGAAACTTTTTTCAGGGATACAAACTTTTTCAGAACACCGGTAGACAGCAGCCATTACAGACGAACATGTGTTTGTTGTTGTTCCAGGAGCGGCTCGGTCACATGCTAATGTCATTTGTTCGTTATCATTTCCACGGTGCAGGACTGCTTTGTTCCCCCTTTTTTCACATCATGTCACCTGCCTGGATCTGTTATTATCTCGCTCTGAAGCACGGAGGAGTGTCACAGGTGAGCTAGTTTCAACTGCTTTTTACGACGCGGTCTCATTTCCGGACTCAGGCATTTTGTGAATGAAGCCAATGTTTCAGTTAAAATACATAAGTAAAAATATTTATCCGAGTATAATACTACCCCCCAACTTTATGGATGATTTTATGGATTAAAGTTTACGTAATGTATTTTGAATAAATGCGGTAGTTAAAATAGTTAACAACATAATTCATTTGAAACAGAATACCAGAATCTACCTCATACCAACATCTGCTGACAGCAACAAAGAACACCTGTTCATGTTAACCAGCAGCTGGACTGAAGTTGTTCTGGGGGGGGGGGGGGGTGTTCTGGGGTACTCATTTTTTTGTAAAAGGAGGAGCTTGCTGTCATATTTTTCAAAAGTGTAGAAAATGCACAACAAGTAATGGTCCCAAACCTTAAACTTAAATTATATTATCCCTAAACATCCTATCCTTGACCTCAATACCTAAAATTAACCAGTAATCCTGATCCCTTATATTAACCACGGACCCCAACCCAAAGACCCTATGTGGTGTGAACCCAGAAAAGCCCCGTGCATCAGAAACTGAAGCGAGGGGTCTAACCGATGAGTCAAAACCGGACACAGAGGGAACCTGGACCAAGCGTCAATATGCGACTTGTTGGGAGTGAAAACGTGTTAAAAACACATAGAACAAGTTATCTTCATAAACCTGAGTAACCAGTGATTATTGTACAGACCAAATCAACTATACTCTGATAAAATTTTATTTAAATATTTTTTCATCCCTCATTGATGGCTCCTCCTAGATGTCCAGCACCTTTAGCATTTGCCTATACTGCCTATGCCACGAGCCAGCCCTGTATTGGGGCACAGCTTTGTCTAAAGTTGGAAAAGCTCCCCTCCCCTCGTTTATTGTTAAATCCCCGTTTAGGAGTGAATCCCTTAATTTAAATGCACCAACAGCCTCCATCAAATAACTTGCATCTAATTCGTGCTGCAATGTGGCTATAAAGCAGAGCCAGAGATGATTAGTAAAATAAACATGTTGCACAACATAAGACTCTGGAAAAGTTGATCCAAAAGTTAAAACTTAATAGTTTAGATCAACTTTATGTCACATGTCAGTCTATGTAAAAACAAAAAGTAAACTCAAATGTTTTTCAAGTTTTTGTGGATGAGCGGAAGGACAAAGCTGATCTGAAACAGGATAAATAATGAAAACCAAACAAGTAAATGCTGTTAGTAAATAATACATAATTTGTTAGGGTTGTGCAACTCACAAAAGCAAATGTGGTGATTAAATAATGATAATAACTCAGACTGACGTGACCTTCTTCTCTAGGTCTCCTGCAGTTAAACGAGGAACTTCCTAAACAAACCTGATCAATCCAGCAAAAAAAGCTGGACGAAGCTTCTAAATGAGAATCGCGCTCCTGTGATTTACCAGGTGTCAGAAAAGGCAACAAATGGCTAAGCCTCGAGCCACAAAAACACAGCGTGACAGTTTGACAAATATTTCAGCTGAAAAACAAAACCTAAAATATCAGTGTTGGCAGCAAACAGTGTGTCGTTCCAGGCACGATGGTGCAGCAGAATCTCAGGAAATAGTTTATCAAAATCAAATTCACGTCCACAAAAACAGAAACCTTGCCACGGGGACGAGGGTTAGCAATCATGTATTACAATAGATTATGTTTGGGCACGCAATTTATAAAAGGGAGCAGAGTGACAGTCACAGCAGCTATTTTTCCACATTGCTTTTTCTTACAAGACACCTTCCTGCAGGTAGCGTTTAAATCAATGAAAGCCTGCAGCTGTTTTTTTTCCCCCGGGATGGGGAGTATTTTATTGTTTATAGAATAACAATATTACAGTATCCACCTGAGGTCCTCGCTACATCTGTTTACTTTAGAGAGAGGGGCTTTCAGCTGCTGCCAAAAAAGTTGTTCCCTTCAGATCATACCCCTTAAAAATGCTCTGTTTCTTTTGAATTCTTCTTTTTCTTGTTTAAAAACTGATCATTTTAAACAGTGAGGGATTGCTAATTAACTGTATACATACTGTACATACTGTACTTTTTTTGGATCGAATAAAAGTTTTATGTAACTAGAAGCACTCGGAGAGTGCAAACCTCCGCCAAGGCCAATTTCCCCCATCCTGTAAGAGTTAATGCGCAAAAGCAGAGATGGAAACACTTTGGTGAATAAGTTCTGACATAGCGAACATTTAAGCAGGCAGTGTGCACGGAATTTCTTCCCGAAAAAAAAAAAGTCATATTCGTCACCCGACGTTATTCATCGTCAAACTGGTGTGGGATTAAGCTCCTAAGTTTTCATCAGTCACATTTCACCATGTAAAATGTCTGTTTTTTCCCCTTCTGCTTCCTTCCTCAAACTTTGAGGCCCGGCAGCTCTCTGTTTACAAGCCTAGTAGCAAGAAACTGTTTTGATTGGTTGTTTCGGAAAGTGGAGTGTTTGAGGAAATGGGAAAAATAGGTTTCATGGTGTAGTCGCGCACTTAAACGTTCTCTAAATGCGCACCAAATGTGTAAAAATGCGCACATTATGGCAAAAAATTATTCATCACTAAATCTGGTTTTAACATTACTTTTATAAAGTTTGAAGTCTGTGCTGTCCAATCAGCTCACTGTTTTTTTACAGAAGCCCTGTGAAAGCATCACAGCTTTGCCGATCTCAGAGTGTTAGAAGAAAAAAAATTCCTGTATCTGCATCGTGATCCGGAACATCACCAAAATTTAAAGGTGTGTCCCTTGGCCCAGTACCCACATGTGTTAAAAATGTCATGACAATCCGTCCAATCCGTCCTCACCCTTGGCGGAGGTAACAAAGTAAGGATTATTTTGATTTGAGAGAATCTTTTCCTGTATGGCAAGTTTTGTTTGCAATTTTTTTTACAGATTACTACTTAAATATGAGTTATAATCATAGATGAGGCAAGAGTGTGTGTGGGGTGGGGGGTGCTCATTGGTGGGCCCAATGAATAGCCCTTCCTTAGAGATAAAAACCAAACAATAATCTGAATCTTCTACGTTGAATAGTTTTTGAGTCATACGCAATTTTGTATGTCCAGACACCCCTCTTTTTTTAGATGGAGCCCCCACCTCAAATATGGGGTTTATCATAAAACCGTTGGCTGGTGCAGTGTAGGTCAGACACATCTACATTCCTGCCAAATTTCATCGGTGCAGCTTTTTCTGCGCTACGGCTGACCGAAAATCACTGAGAAAAAAAAATGAAAACAATATGACCCCTGCTTCATGTGCGGGGGTCATAGTAAGCTGATTATCAAGTCCAGAGAGATTAATAATCCAGCTGTATAATGTTGTCAAACAATGCATTTAATCAAAACCTCTTTGCTTGGCTTGAAATCAAGATAAAGAAAAACAGGATGCCTCTGAAGTGAAGCAGACAAAACATCAATAATAAAATAGTTTTCTTTTGAACACATGATGTCACTAAACACACTTGAGAGGCAACGTTGTCCCATTTTTATATCGTTTATCATCCTAAAATGAACCATGATTAAAGGTATCTTTCACAATAGTGACAACAGTGAATGCTGATTCAGCAAATGATAATTGATTTCTCTCTTTTTATTTTTTTCTCCTGTAAATGATCTGAGTCATCAAACTTAAAATTTTTTCAAGTTGCTTTTGTCCAACAGCTGTTTAAGACCTATTTCTAGTTTGTTTACAACCAATAATGGTCAGCAGGGAGCAAACATTGCATAAGATTTACTGCGAGTAGAGCTGACTGCAAATAAAAGTGGTGAAACAAAATCAGCTGATAAAAACTGTAGAGTCCAGATATTATTTACCAGCTGGTTTGTTCTACCAGCTGCTATTTTCTCGAGGCCCATCCTGGTGTGTTCATGTTTTTATGGTAAATTATTTATCCGAGCAGCTACCTTCTCAGAGCTTGGTTCTTGGCTGAAGAGGAGAACACAAAGAGTACTTTTAACAACCGATCTGCAGACTTTGCACAGCTTTGTAAACATGTTTACATGTTGAAGCTTATTGTT